CCACATAATGATGGCATTCCTAGAGCTGTAGCTTATGGTAATAGGTTGAACCTGGAGCCTCTTTGCAAACTATGCAAAAAGCACACATTGCTTTCATCTCTTGGCAACCATTCTTGCATTGAGGGTGACGCTCAACACAGGGACAATCTAACCTGTGCCTTAGTGGGTAGATAAGGAGATGCCACCCTCAAGCAGGTAGAAGTGCCTTGAAAGCAGCTCCATGCCCGGACATCACAACATCTGCAGTGTGCACATCTGGCTGCAGCTCCCTCTAGTGCTCGTTTATTTTTCAAATTTATCCAAAAATGTCACAGAATCACAGAATTGTAAGGGCTGGAAGGGATCTCTAGAGATCATCGAATCCTTGGCCAAACCCAAGTCCCCTTAGGTCAGCTCATGTAGTTGCAAAAGGAAGTGAGTAAGGTGACAGAGTTCCTATAAATGTTGGCCCTGAAGTATCTCAGGTTGGATATTAGGAAACATTTGTTCTCAGAAAGAGTGGCACAGGCTGCCCAGGTTGGTGGTGGAGTCACCATCCCTGGAGGTGTTCAAGAACCGTGGAGATGTGGCACTGAGGGATGTGGTGACTGGGTACAGTGGGGGTTGGTTAGGGTCTTTTTCCCACCTTAATGACTCTATGATCTCCCTTTGAAAATACTGGCTGTCTCTCCTTGGCTGCTGTGCTGCAAATCAAGCTCAGAGAACTACAGAGCCCTCCTTGAAGGCTGGGAATGGGCTTGCATGCAAAATTAAGACTCAGAAGCTCACATGCACTGAACAGAAAGCCAATCTGTCCACAGCAGCCCTGATCCTGCAAAGATCTGTCAGTACCCCAACTTTACACCCAAGCAGCATCCTGGAGCTTGGATGGAAGAAGACAAAACACAGAGTTTCTCTGGGAGCAAGGGTAGGTTTATGGGATGCTGAGCATCCACACACCATTCTGGGTGCTTGGTGTTGCATGTCTCCATGGCAGGGAAGGGCACGGTGCCGATTTGCAGCAGCTGGGGATCTGGACCACAGGCCTTGTAAAAATAAGCCAAATAAAATAAAACAAATAGCTCCATTTTACATTCTCCCCACTTCTACTAATTTACAGGGGATATTCGTGTTACAGGGAAGTCCTAAATGGCTGAGAAGCGTGTTTTTCTTCCCCACCTCCCCCTGCAATTACATCACGCACTGAATCAAAATTGAATTTCCTATCACCCTCCCTATCAGTTGCTCCCTCTTCCTCCGACTTGCAGACCCGGCCCGCCAAGCTTTCTGCCCCAATCCCTTCCAAGCCTGTAAACATCTGGCAGAAACCACCTCCTTATCTCCTTCCCCGCCATCCCCATTCCTCTTTGAAGCTCGCTCCTGGCACTGTGCCTACAACAACGTTGCGATGGGCAGACCTCAAAGACGAGCCTGCGACCGAAAATGCTGCCTCGTGTTTTCCTCTCATCCTTTCCCCTCTCCGTCCAAGAGCATGAGCTCAGCTACGCCATTTCCACGGATGGTCCCTGAGCCCCGAGGTTGGCAGCAGCCTGCATCTGGCACCGCTGCAACGGTGGAAAGGGAGCAATGGATGGGGGAAGAAATTGGCCAGTGGCTCCGTAGAAAAACAAGGGTGGGGAAAGGAGGAGAAGCTGCGAATTAAAATAAATTAATTAATTAATTAAAAATGCCATTTCGTTGTGAAATCCCAGCTGCTGGTGTCCTCATTGCACCAAGTGCCCTGGGACAGGGAGTGCAGTCCTCTGCCAGGTTACAAGCAGGTGCAAGAGGAGCCTGGCGGCACATCTGGATTCGGTTCATGCTTTGGATGCCATTTTAATCCCAGCTTTCATCTTCCCCACTCGTTTTTCAACAAGGGGATGTGTCTGCTGGAAAGTGGAGGAGTGGCAACCACAGTGTCTTTCCCCCAAATGCCTCCTTGTTCCCAAAAGAAACCCTTGCAGCCTAACTGCTTACTGGCTGAAAGGATGCAAATAGCTTTACAGACCAAGCCCTGCCTTTCAGGCTTAAGAGGAGATGCCTACCTTATGCCAGGTGCTGGGGACAGACTCATTAGCAGGGTCTGTTGTGATAAGACAAGGGGAAATGGTTTCAAACTAGAATAGAGGAGATTTAGGTTGGATATAAAAAGTTTATTTGTGATAAGGTTAATGAAGCACTGGCACGGGTTGCCCAGAGAGGTGGTGGGTGCCTTGTCCATAGAGACACTTAAGGTCAGGCTGGATGGGCTCTGAGCACCTGATGGAGCTAACCCTGGCTCACTGCAGGGGGGTTGGACTAGGGACAAGGGTCCCTTCAACTCAAACAATTCTATGATATTATGATATATGCAAAGCTGAGATCCTAAATACTTGGAGTTGGGCTTTGAGACTTAGCTGTGGTGCCTGCTACAGGGTAGAAAGACAAGATGGTGAAAAGCAAATCAAATCTTGATACCTTCTTCTTCCTCACAGTATGGAGAGAGAGCACAAAAGATGCCCTAATGCAGGCAAACTTCAGATCATGTGCACTTAAACACCCTATGGAAGGATTCACCCTGCTTCTCTTCATGCATGTAAAAGGTGGATGTGTGGTCTCAAACAGCTCCCTGCATTCCATGACATGTCCAGAAAGCATCTCTTGATGCTTGTGTTTGATGTCTATCATAAGAGTAGGCATCTGTAAAGTCCTTTCTCTGCTGGCTGCACTCAGGGCATTGAATGCACTGGCTCCAAAACATCTAATTTAAGAGTAAGAAAGTTGTCAAAGGAAGATGTGGGTGCCCCATCCATGTAGGCATTCATGGACAGGCTAGATGGGGCCCTTGGCACCCTGTTTAAGTGGGGGGCAAGCAGCCAACAGCAAGGGGTTGGAACTGGGTGGGCTTTAAGGTTCCTTCCAACCCAAACCATTCCGTGATTCTATGACTGATTCTGAGTTTCAATGAAAAAATCCCACCTTTTCAAGAGACGGTGATGGGAAAGCCTCAAGTGGCAAAGGCTGGGTCAGAAGGATGGGAATTAAACACAGCACAGAGTCTGTGGTGAAAGGAGGAGTAAAGCAGGAACCTCTTGTCCTAATTTCACTGCCTATCCCCAAGTTTCTCACCTAAACACACTGCATCCCACACAAGAGACCTTCCCTGGCATCTCATTTTATTGTGCCATTTATGGGAGATGCTCACTTGAGGTTAGCCCACATCCCATTATTTACTTTGTGCGCAGCTTCAAACCAGAGCAGAAACAGAGGGCAGGAAACCAGATGGGTGCTGGAGGGGTTTGTTTGTTTGCTTTGCAGTAAGCAACTAATCGATCGCTTGCTTAAGCAAAGAAATGAGATAGCAATGTTTTCACTTTGTTTGCAGTGACATTACCTCAGAGGAAACTCGATCCAGACTTGACCACACTCCTTGGTATTTCTTCACCCTCCTCCCCCCTCCCCACTTCGTTTTTAACACCCTTCGCAAAATCCAAAGGTTAAAAGGTCCACCAAAAAAGCATGTTATCTGTCAAGCATCCCCTGTGGCTGGAGATTATCCCCACTGCCCTCCCTCCTGCTCTCAGCTCCTGCCTCGCATGACCATTGGTCCCAGTGGGAGCTGGTAGGGGCTGACACTAGAAACTTCATAAGTGGTTCATGCGAGCATTCAAGTGCGTGCCTTTCCTTTGCTATCAACAAGGAGAAGAAAAAGCAAGCCTAAATCATGCATATTTTGCAAAGAAGATTGAGGCATGTTGTTAGCACAAGCCCCGAGTCCACACACTTGAAATCAATGAATGCCCAGAGAAGTGCAACACGCACTGCTCTTTAAATGGCTCAAATAACAGAGCTGCAGAACCGGGTAACAGAGCAGCAGTGACTACAAAAGGTTCTAAAAATGCCGAGAGATAGCTGGGTACTTACATCCATTTTATCCCATAGCAAATCCCCGTCTGCAGAATCAAGGACAGAAAAGCAGCTAGCAAAAATTGCGGGCTCGGCTTCATTTTCTCCACCGTCCCCCACTTTCAGTAGGAAATCAGCTTCAAGAGGGGAAAATAGGAGGCTTCTGAATCTCCTGTGCGATGTATTTCCTTCAGCCTGTGTGTTGGGGATGCACAACCTGGAAGGAGACAGAGCACGGAGCCACGGTTAGCTCTGAGGTTGGGCGAGTCGCCGTGAAAGAGATCTATTATCCAAATCGCAAAGGAGTGGTTTATGAATCACGATGAAGTTTGGATTATCCCCTCCCTCGCCAAGCCTTGATACAACCTTTCGAGGCAACAGACAGACAAAACGTATGGCTTGAATTACACCCTGAGTTATGGTCTGATTGTGTGTTTCCATTTAACCCTGCGTGCGGCAAGGCTTCGTTTGCTGCTTGGCTTTATTTCCTCCTCTCTAAAATGTTGGGAAGAAGTTAAAAAAAAAAAAAAAAAGAGATAAATCTTAAGACGTGCTCAAATCTCACTCACTCTCCATCTCTCCCTTCCTTCTCTCCAGAGTTTTTTTTTCCTTTTACAAATTAAAAAAAACTACATTTCCCAACTAACGCAGGTGCCCGTGCCCTGCAGATGTTTCAGGCTGATCTGTTGCAACAAATGCGTTCTGCTCTTTCCCTTCTGCTTTCCTTCTCACCTCATTAACTCTGCCTCTCACTTCTTCCAAGTCCTCGGGCACCTGGAGCTCACCGAGCGGCTTTATAAACATGCAGCCCCATCGCTGTAGAGCAGCCCGGAGGGAAAAAAAGCTCTCAGCGATTCCCCCCTCCACTCCATTTTCTTCTTCACTCCAAACAAATAAACAAAGCAGCAAACAAACTCAAATTCTTACAAGGGTCCTCTCTATCTCCAGGGCATGACTTGTTTTAGCAGCGATATTAATAGCAGTAAATGGGTTTCCCTTCAGTTCTCCACTTCAGAAACCGCTTCGGGCTGTTCATTGTGGTCTTTGCGGTGGTTTCCAATGGCAAGCCCACCCCACAAGAAAGCCAACGACAAAACAAGCAGAAAAGCCTGCCTCCTGAAAAGTACTCACCGACATCCCCAAGTCATAGGTTAGTTAAAATTGGAAAAGACCTCTAAGATCATCAAGTCCAACCCCAACCTATCCCACCATGCCCACTGACCGTGTCCCAAAGTGCCACATCTCCACACTTCTTGAACACCTTCACAGACGGTGACTCCACCACCTCCCTGTGCAGCCTGTGCCAATGCATCACCACCCTTTCTAAGTAGAAATGGTTCCTAATATCTCATCTGAACCTCCCCTGGTGCAACTTGAGGCCATTACCTCTCATTCTACAGATGCAACTGCATCCCTCCCAGCACCGTCCTTTCAGAATTTTGGGATGGAGAACAATCAGCATTGGGGACCCCCGTTGCCACCCATTAACTTGGGGCAAATATGTCTCACCTGAGCCCCAGCTCTGGGTTTGTCCCCACTGCACCTTTCTGCCTTGGTGTCCCAATTACAGAAGCAATAGTGGAAGGGAGAAGGAATATTCCTGGGTGTTTGCTCTGCAATCTGAAATGCGTTTTTCCATTCTGGCTGCTATCACAACCCTAGTGTCTGCCTGGTCTAAAGGGTTACTGGAGAAGTGCTGTTATTACAGAAGATTTTAATAACCTCTGAGGGCGAGTCCCCATCTCCCTTGAAGTCCAAGACAAAACTCCAGTGGACAAGAGGAGGTAGGATTTCATTGCCATAGGCTGTTTTCCTTTAATGCCCACTTGGATTTGGGTTTGATGCATCCATTGGAGGGGAAGGCAGCGCTCCCAAGAGCATCCAGACATACTTCTCAGCTCAGGGTATTGCTCTGTCTTTTCATCTCTGGAAGCTCTTTGCTTCCCTCCCCTCCACGAGCACACTGGAAACCTTCAACCCTTAATCCTGCCCATGCCTTTTAGCGTCCATTTAGATATTTCAGACCCCTTATCTCCTTCCCATGAATGGCTAAACAGCACAGAGTTGAGGGCAAGACGTCTCAGACGGTCTCACTATCCAACATCATAGTTCTGTGACTTGAAAAAAAAATCAGGCTTTTCATCAGTCTGTCTGTCTGTCTGTCTGTCTGTCCATCTGTCTGTCTTTATTTACTTATTTTTCCCAAACAGAAATAGAAATTATCCAGCTTCCCATCCTGAGAGCTGCAAATTTTGCCCACGATCGCACCCCTGTTACTCAGGGAGGCAATAAAACTCCTTTTTCCACTCACTCCAGCACAGGTTACGTTTGCAAGAGGAATTTGCAAAGGGGAGGGAAGGAGGGAGACTCGTTGGGGGCAGACGTGATGTTTACAGCTCTGCAGAGCTCTGGGTCACTGATCAAACCGGCAGCAAGTGGCCCGCGGTCTCCTCAAACCGGCGCCGTCTTTAACTCAGAGCTCCCTTTTCCTGACACCCCGGGGCTGTTTGCAGGCAGCCCCACTCTTGCATGCAGGAAAAGTTCCTTGCATGCAGCATATGTTCCCATCTGACACCTCTGAGAGTGCAGCTCCAGGATGGGAACAAGCAATGTGGACTATATATAAACATGTGAGTATCCGTCTCACCTTTTCCCAACTTTCCCACTCAAGAAGGAAAGTCACCCAGCTGACTCTTATTTTAAGGGTATTTTATACGAGGGGTAACACATCTCCCAATGACTTGGAGAGAGGATGGGGAGAAGGGGGTGATGTATCCCCCTTCATGCTTTCAGCCCTGTCTCTTGCAGCACCCAGCACTCCAATGTCCCTATATGCTTCTGCATCAACCCTCTCCCATCTAGTCCCCTCCAGTCTTCCCTTTCCCTTACAGCTCCTGGGTGCCTGATCTCCCTTGTAACTGCTTGATCTCCCCTCTCTCTTGCAGCCTCCAGGTTTCTCCTCTTCATCCCCTGGGTTCCACACCCTTCTACACCCTCTAGGTCCCAAATCACCCTTTTGGGTCTCTCCTCTCCCTTTTAGCCTCCAGGTCTCCTTTTTCCCCTGCAGCCTCTGGGTCTCCCCTTTCCCTTCCACCCTTCAATCCTCCCTTCTCCCTCTATTCCCCAGCTCTCACTTCTCCCTCCGTTCTCCCCTCTCCTTTACATCCTCCAATTCCCTCCTCTCCCTCCATTCTCCCCTCTTTCCTCATCCTCCAATTCACCCTGCAATCTCCCTCTAGGGGCTCAGCTCCCTCTTACACCCTCCAAACCATCTCCTACCCTCACTCTACCACTCCTACCTCAATCCGGAGACCAACTGCCCCATCCCATACCAGGGTAAGGGGGGGGAGGTGTCCCCTCAGCTCCTCACCCCAAAGCCCCCGATCCCCACTTACCTCCACCCGGGGCAGAGCGAGGGCTGAGTCCGGATCCCCTCTGCCTCAGCGGCCCCGCGGAGCCTCCTTATATGCGGTCCCCGCGGCTTTGATACGTGATGTCAGCCCGGATTAGCATAACAAAGGGCTCGGCCGGGAGCGCTCCGCGCCCCGCGCATCCCCTGCGGGTCGGAGCGGTGCTCCGCGGGGCTCCGCGCCCGCAGCGATGCGCAGAGGGGAGGAGGGGAAGGGGAGGACCCCC